ATAGTAATAAGTAAATCGTTTTCAGAAGGGGCCTTTAAAGTTTGTTCCGCTAGACAAACAAAATTGCCTTTAGGTGTTAATAACAGTGCTGCAAGGTAAGTCATGCGATTTTTGACATGAATACTTGGATGCGTTATTTTAAACAAATCAGTCATATTTTGAAAGTCAAAGTGCAATTCGCTTTCTTTACAGACCTCGTTTATGAAGACCAAGAGAGCCGCAAAAGGTATGTATACTACTAATATATGACAATTTATCATTGGTAAAGAATTTGTGGCATTGGAATTGATACTTCAAAGAAAATACGTACAGACAAAATCAAACAAGAGGTGTCAATCACAGTTTCGCACTAGTCCTGCAAGTTGAAATTGTGTACCATGCTTCCAAGAATAATCGAAATCGAGGTGAACAGCAGTGTAAAAGTCAGTGCAGTGGACGGTATAGCAGAGCAAAGGAAGAGAGCGGGTGAACCGCAGTGCAATTGTACAAAGTGAGCAGTGTGAAAAATAACCAAGTGAACAACTCGTGTAATAGAAGTGTAATATAAATATTCAAGTGAAAAACTCAAAAACTGGCATAAATATACAAGTATATCTGTACATAAACCTCTATTTTCAGTGTGTAATTAAGAACGACTTTGTTAAAATGTTTTAATTCACCAATAAACATTACAATATAGTATATTGTCATAAAATAAAACACTATAAAATATGCTTGTTTTATCTCAGAACACCTCATCACAAAACAAGATAAGGAGAGATGAAAAAACACCAGGAATTTTGTTAGGTTGCTTACACCATACTTCACACTTCCTTATTCCGTCCCAATTTTAAGTATGTATCTGCAATCCAACAAAAGTTTTTAAACAGCACTAAACTGGTACATTTGTATATTTTCCCAGCTCATTAACCCTTCAATGCAGAGCATATTTTTTATCCAACAGGAGAATGAAGTGAATAATTAAACAACAAATGTGTTTCCAATGAAGTATGTGGTGTATTGCCACCACAGCTAAGTGGCAGTGCTGTTATTTCAGAATGCATTATATCCCTCTGTCCGAATGTGCAGCATATCATTTCTAAACATTATCAAAATTTGCTGATAAGATGATACAATCACATCAAAAGTTAGTACCATTAATTTAATGAGAAAATTAGTTGTTGCTTACATGAAAAGAAAAAGACATTCATTATCAATCACCGGCACAACTGTCTTTCAACTGCAAGTGAGATTCATTTTGCATATTGAATTGAACATTTTCAATGTAATGATGGTTTCACCTTCAGCAGGCTATTTCCGTGAATGTTTCCCAAACCCAAAATTGATGGCAATCCACACAATTATTCCATCTTAATTTTATTTAAGAGAAAAATTTACTCAAAATTCACTGAATTGTCACATTACATACCTGCAATTTTAAACAACCAATCAGAGGCATAACATTCAGACCCGGGTGAAAGGACTATTTTTATTATTTAGCATACTAACACTACTTGTGTTTGCTCTACACTTTTATAAAGATGGGCTCGCACTCATTCCATTTAGCTGCTTGGAACCAAACTAGTTATTTCAATGCAAGCGGAGGCTTCTCTATGTACTCAGGTGCCCATTCTTTGCTTGCAATTTGGGCCCCTGTGAGGATACTTCAAATTAGGGTAGCTATTATTTGTTTTAATGGGTATACTTTAAATAACGCACCTCGTGAGAGGCACCCATAGCATATGCCATACCACAAATACCCTTCTGAATACAAGTCACATTCAATTCCATCCATTCTTCCTTTCTTTCTGCAGAACTCAAATAATTTCACTGCACATTAAGTTCACGCCTACCATTACATCCAAAATACATTCTCGCTTGGTACACATCTTTTATCTCACTTTTTTAAAATAACAATATTTGACATGTTTCCATCCCATTTCAGTGAGGCCCAATAGTGGCTTTCTATCTCCACATGGAATCCCACAATGGATAATTCCATGTTGAGTAAATATAGAGATCTGAAAAAAGCAGGGTAAGGGCTATGTTATCTGAATTCTGTATTGAAGGGTTATGAAAGTTTCACTAGTTTTTTCAACACATTTTAATACTATCACTAACAAAGCATACACTATTGAAATGAAACAAATGTACAGTTGATCCTCATTTCCCATTATTGGAAACAAAAAATGATGCATCTCAGAGTGGATCATTCATCTTTATGTAGGCAATTACTTCCTCAGCCTCAACTTTCTCTTTAGCGGAAATAATTATTTTCGGCTGCGAGTTCTCCACTAAGACTGGTGCTGTCCAAATTCTATACAAGGAAGACGATAAAGGAAGAGGAATGGAAGGGACGGATTTACAACAGCTGATTTCCAGGCAGCTGTGATGCATTATCTTCCCACGGCACATTGAAGAGAAGCTCTGTAGTCTGCAAAAGAAAAAACAGTACCAATAAGTTTAAAAAACAATAATATATATATATATATATATATATATATATATATATATATATATATATATATATATATATATATATATATATATACCAGAAAAAACCTCATCCAAAATCACAGGCACCACCACCATTAAAACAAATAATATTTTAGAAATATCTCCACAAGGGGCAAGTTTTTTTGAATGAACTGGTAACATGTCAGAAAAAGGGACAAAACCATGCATTACCTACCACAATCAAAAATATTAGTACATTCAAGCGAGAAAGAAAAACTGCTCAAGTGAAATAAAATACATTTTGAGATACAATTCTGAATACAAATTAAATTTGTTGAATTGGATTCCAAGGTGGAGTGTTCTCATACACATTTTTTCCCCCTTTTCTTTCTTTCCCCAATGAACTTACCAAGTCCAACATTCAATACATTATACACAAGTGTGCTTCCACAAGGGATGGCCAATTACTTACCTCCATTAGATCATTTTTTTTCTTCTTAAATAAAACTATGTCAAAATGCTTTAGTTTTATGTAGTTCTTTAAATTTTACCCCACTGGACTTTGCATTAATGTTGGAAGAAAACTATGAGCTTGTCTAATTAATTGTATTTTACAATGTTCAGTTTTGCAAGCAAAGATAAATATTATATGGTTAAATATAAATTAGTGATTCTACGTATATTAAAAATGTTCAACATTTTGTAGTTATGTGAACATCACGTGAATACCCACTTCACAAAAATTACACACATTGCATGATCCAGATGGAAAGACAGTAATAATACAATGAAGAAAATAAATTATTAAGAAGCCATTATTGCATCCATGCGAAGGAATGAAATAACTTGGGGCAATTGGAAGATCGAAGAGCAGCAAGAAAATTGAGACTGAAGGAACACACAAACAAATAAAAAACACCCCATCAAAACAGATACGCCAACCACCACCAACAACAATCCTGTTGAATTCTTCTCTCCAAAAAAACTACCAATGCTTTGTGAATGAATATAGTAATCGAATAGTTTATTGGAAAGTAGAGTCTGAAGAATTGAAAAGAAAAAACACAACAACAACAACAACAACTTAAATCCAAATCTACAAAATTAAATCTGATGTGTAAGATCTTTATGCCATGTGAACATCACAAACATGTGAATTTGTGAACAAAAGCCATAAAGGTTTGAAGGGTGTCTGCTGGTTGATGTAATATTTATATTAAGTTGACAGGACTTTTCTGAAAATATCTATAATTTTAAATGTAATATAATGGAGACAGAAACTTTATTAAATGAAAATATTCAAAATTCCTTAAATACTACTACAAGAATATTTTCAGAAATGATAGAAAACATAGAAGAGGTTCCAATACCATGTTTTAAATAAAAACAAAGGACTGTTAGGTCAGTTAAACCACAATCGATTGCTAGAAAGAATATGGGCAGATATTTAAAACGTCCAAAAAATTGTTACGACGTACGATGCAAGACTGCTTGAAAGCTGTACCTACATGAAAATCTGATATGAGGAGACTCACCACTCACTGATAATTGAAATTTTTCACATACTGGAATACCACCACATTCACCTGGTTTGACCTTTATAAAGTCTTGTTAACTAAATTTCATCAAAAACAAAAGAAAGCAACTCTAGACTTGATACTCACAGATGAAGAAACCGTTGCTACTCTGAATTATCACCCACCTGTGGGGAAAAACTGATTTATTGCAATGCAGATCTCAGAAATAAAGAAAAATTGGAAAGCAGATTACACAGAAATTGATTACGTATTAAAAGTTGACATGAAGTTTGTACAAATCAGCATAACAGAAAATATTTTACAGAATTAATCAAACTTCAACGAAAGTTGATATTCTTATGATAATCTGGGATCAATGTACAAATGAATCTACCTGTCTGAAAGAAGTAGCTAATATCCTTACTTACGAATTTTCATGATTGAGTGAAGAGGACTTAGATATATCTATAATTAACAGATTTCCCATATCAATAAAGAAGAAAACAAGTTCTGATGCTCAAACTGTGAGGAAGAAATATTAGTTGAACTAGATGCAATTGTGCTTTGGGACCTCACCAAATATGCAAGGGACTTTTCAAAAAACAAAAAGAAGTCCGGATATTTTGAGTAGTCTTCTTGCATATATCGTGAACTTATCACAAGAAAACAACACACTTCTTTAGGACAGGAAGATGACTTGTGTAGTACCATTATATAAAAAGGGAAATATAAAATAGCAAAATAGTAAGGACCAAAATCTTAACAACAGTCTGTAGGAGTATGGAGAAAGTCACCATGAAAAACATTATTAATTTTTTGGCAATTTAATTCTTAGCCCACAACAATATTCCTACCAGGCAGATAATCTCCCTAATTTTGATTTGTTTGAATGAACAGACTAAATATTTGAACAATAATCAACCTTTTGATGTAATCCACTTATGTCCATATTCTCACTCAAATCTATTACATCAAACATTGTTAAAAGTTGTGTGTGACATGCTATGGGGAGAAGTTAATTTGTATGTCCACAAGGAAAGCCAGGGCATTTGCTCAAGGATCAGGGAAACTGGACGAAAACATGATTGAGATGGGGGTCATTGACCCAGAATCTGTACTGGTTACAGGTTCTTTAGAATTATACAATTCAAATGGTAAAACACTAAATGTTATTGTTTGTTAAAATTAATATTACTTTCTGTTTGGATGCTCAGTATAGTCTCTAATTGTATAGAAAAAGTTGTGCAGCAGAAAAGATTTTACTGGAGACTTAAATTTTTGTTCCGAATTTAATCATTTAATGTCATCAGGCAAGGTGTTGTAAAATAATGTACATGTGTTGTATGTGAATTTTTGTTGTTGCTGGAGTTTATGTTGATTTTGTTGTTGAAGCTGTTGATACTGTCACCTGATTAATATGATCACTATGTTGACACAGTGCAGAAATGAACAATTGCAAAATATACACAATGAGTAGTATGGAGGCTGATTGAATTTGAAAGAATTCTGAAAGTGTAGCATAAAGAACTTAAATTTAGTGTTTAATTCATTTAAATGGACATTCCATGAAAGGTTGGACTGAACTGAAAGACCCAAACATTTTCTTACCTGAACATCAGTCAATGGAGGACTGTTCACTTTCAATGGAGTACAGAGCTGTTTATTTGAAATGAAAAAATACATTGAAACAGTTTTCTTTTCATTTACTATTAATTTGTCTGAAACCAATTTGAAATATCTAATGTTATACTATTTACAGTTTCTTTATTGAAAAGAATATTCGTATCATTAGCAAAGAACTGTTCTTCCGTTTCTAATCATCGAGGGCATATCGTTTATGTACAGCAGGAAGAGAATAGGGCATCGAAAGTAACCTGTGAAGCAAGGAATTCATGGATCAGGTTAACATTGGTTCTTATTCACAAACTGCAGTGATTAGAGGATTGGTGTATTTGAGCACTACCCACAGCTAGAATGTTACAATAAATATGATAAACTGAAGAGTATCTCAATTTCGTGGTAGTTTGAAAACAATGGTTATTTAATGAAATAATTACACTAAGTCAAAAATTTTTCAAATATAAATCAAGTCATATTAGTACATTCAATTACAAGTAGTAGATGTACATATTTTTTTTAAACAATAGAAAGTGTAAAATAAAATGTTATGATAAACCATATTTATTAATAAAACAATAACGAATTCAGCACAATTGTCATAAAATTCAAAGATTGGAAGAAATCTTGCCCAGATGTTAAGAGTTATTTCGTCTTCAGAACATAAAAAAAATATGTTATTTTTGTTTTGATGGGACTTATTGAAATAAATGTGAAATATATACAACATTGTTGAGTTTTCACATATGACTGCAAACACGTTACCTGCAAATGTGAAGCAGATTGTAACTTCATGACTGAAATTGTAATGCAAGCTAAATTTTAAAAAAATACTATTTTCTCTAATGAATTTCAAAATTAGTTACATTTCATAATAATAAACTTGATTAATTTAATGTCAGAAATCAATATTAATTATATATCTGCCTAATCATATCTGATCCCATTACTTTTAAGAAAAATTTCAGAGTTATTAATTTCTTCTTCTTCATAGGCTATAGACCTGTTCCATTATTGGATTTAAAATCCTTCATCGCCTCGGACTTCCAGCATATCTTCTTTCCACAGGTCTAGTATCTCTCAAGAACCTTAGAATTCAATCTTCTTTCACTATCAATGTGTTTATCCTGTTTTCTCATACGTGATATTATGCATTCAGAAATGGGAGTACTCCACATGTTGTTCTAATGTTTTCATTTCGTTTTCTATTTGTTTAAAATTTTCCCAACACATGCATTTCTGTTACTTGTAGCTGACATTGCATGCTTTTTGTTCACCTTATCTCTGCTGCACATGTTAAAATCAGTCTAATAACTGATTTATATTCTTACTTTTGAATCTTGCCTCAAACATTTGTTGTACCACACAGTAATTTAAGCAGCAGGAAATGAAGTTTCTTTTCATGGCTTCTTTACCTCCTTATACATCTGCTCTGAGCTGGATATCATTATTATCATGTATTTTGTTATGGTAGTGTTTGTAACACTTCCTTTATTGATGTATCATTTACCACAAGTTTACATCGAATAGGATCTTTCGCTGTAGTCATACTTTTAGTTTTTTTGGATGGAGATCGTCAAATGGTAGTTTCTGCAGATTTCATTAAATTCACAGGGAAGACATTGTTGGTCATTTTTCAACCATTCTGTATCATTTTGTTATATACATGTAAAAATAGAAGCAATAAGGCAATGTGGCACCTTTCTTCCGGCTATAGCGTGGATGACATCTAATTATTAAAGGCTTTACTCAACATCCATAATACGTAAGAATGCCTGTTATTGAATTCTAAGTGGCTTTTCTATAAGCTGTTCTAATGGCTCAATGTTATATGCATTGTTACAGGATGCTCCCTCATCTGAATGCCCAGGTGATAATCGTGCCCCACTATTAGTGCTCTATAGCTAAGTTTCCCGTAAATGTCTCACCTGTCATTTGAATGTGAAACTTAGGAGACCTATTCCTCTGTAATTATCAGGATTAAGTTGGTCTCCTTTCTTGAATAACAGTATAAGGATGCTAGACTTCCAATCCTTGGGAGTCTTACAATGGTGCTATTTCTTCATTAATTTTGTTATTTCTTCAGTTAATGAGTCTCCACGATATTTTAGGAGCTCATTGTATACACTACCCTCCGTAGGTGATTTACAAGTTTTCAATTTCTTAATTATCGCCATCACCTGTTCTTTTGATATAGTGCATTCTGTATTCACATTTCCTGTTTCTGCAACGTCTATTACATTTCCAACTTTGTCATGGAAGAACTCTAAAATACTCTACCCATATTTGGATAGGTAGTATTAGTTCTTAAATATTAATTCGTTTCAGTTCTAATGTTCCTACTGAACCTCCTATTTTGCCTCCTATTGTTAATGTAAATAGTCTAAACTAGATTATGATTCCAATATTGAAAATATTTTTAGAATTTTCATGATCTCTGAACTGCTTTGCACTTTTATTTCTGAACTTAGGATTGAAAAACATTTAAGAGCTATTGCATAAGGGAAGTAATTACATCAATTTTTGTTTTGTTTTTTATTGTGGATATTTCCATTTCCTAGTAATTTTATTATCAATTTTAAAGCATCTGTAGAGTGCACACTCAACTTTTGTTGTCGTCATTGTTGTTGATGTTATCATCCCCCTACCCCTACCCCCAATTTTATGCTCTCAACTGTAAATGAATTGAAACAAAAGTTTACTGAAGAATATCTTTTGTAATCTTCACTATATATGAATGGATTAATGACATAGCCAACATTGCAGATAAACGGAACACAATGGCACTTTTGTTAGCAGTAATAAAACCAGTTATTTTAAATTTACTAGCATATTCATATCAATAACATGTATATTTAGAAAAAGCAACTAATAAATATGTACCACAAAATGAATATTTTATATCCAATAGGAAAGGTCAGGCAGATTATCCATAGCAGCGGCAGCAGCTGTGAGAGGTACAAGAAAAGTGTATTCACTCTCAGAACGCAAACATTACCTCAAGGATTCCACATTCTAAAAGCACCACAGAAGTTTAAAAAGGAAAATGTAGACGGTGCAATGTTTATCTACTTAAAATTTGAATATGATCAAGATCTATTGAAAGAGCAATGTATTTTTTATGAAAATTTTCATCTATAAGTTAAATTAGCGACTGAATCAAATATGGACTACAGCCTTTATTCATTTATTTTTGGCTATTTGAGTTTTGTAATTGAGTTTGTCTAAATGGTAAATAAGTCTTTCATAGACAGCCACCAGATTTTCTTGGGTACTTGTTGACGGCCTCAGTTTCTTTCACTGTTCAAAACCCAGACTCATTCGCTAGGAGTCCAAACAAGTTCCAGGTGGCCTCATGATACCTACGTGTAACAAAATCATGGTATTAATTTTCATGTTACATTTCATTTGATGACTCCACATGAGTTTTGAAATTATTTCTATATAGACACCTTTCAAAATAGCAGACTGAATTGCCCTCAAATTCATGGTGGATGCCGAGAATACTAACCCAAATATAATTACATACACTTACGTACTTTTACCGCATTCACAGTTTGTTGTTAGGTCCACATTTATGACTTATATGGAATGGCAAAGTAAAAACTTGAACCTTAACTGACTAAACTAAATCTGCAAATACATGACGACCAGCCTTGGAGGAAAGAAGAAAGCAGAAGGACCTAATTGATGTAAAAACCTATCACAAATATAATCCAAAAATGATTTTCGAATGAAAAAGAAATGCACATTTGAATGTCACCAATACAAATTAAATACAACTTTTTAAAAAAAATTAAAGGAAACTTTCTGATAAAGTTGTTTACACTTTGAATATATTTCTTGAAAATGTAGCAAATGCTCTAAATAAATGTTATCTATATTCACATTTGAACACACATTGATAGTTTGGCAGAAATCATTCAATGTTCCTGAGCAGGTTAAGACACTTGTGGGATACTCTGATCCAGTAAACTAAGGATTGGAGGGAAATAAAATGCCTCACAATAAGTCAAGGAAATTAACAAGTAATCTACCTACATCATGAAACTGACCATAAAACAAATTGAGACACCAGACTAACTGAGCTGGAATGGATAATCCAGGGAACTTTGAGTAAAACCATCTACAGATCACCTGTTTTCACTACATTTATATTCATATATACCAGTACATGTTTTTACATTACATACATGAACTACAACAAAGAGGTACTGAGAAGGATTGTGATCTGAGAAATTTCTATGATGCGTTATCAAGAAACTTGAGAGAATATGAGAACTCAGTCATCTGAGAGACTTGCTTGTGCTGCAGGGTTAAAGTCTCAGTGCATTTCCAATGTTACATATTGTTTTTGAATTATACTTCTATGCACCACCTACTTAGTAAAATAATTTTTTTAACAATGTCTAATATATTAAATAAAATCTATCTAAAAGGTACTTCAAGTTCTCGCGGTTTCCCAACAGATGGCATTATCAGAACTACCTGCATGTCATTTCCGATGCAAACACATTTACAACCAAGTATTGATCTAGAGCTTGAGGTTGTCAATGTATGTTTATTCACCAGTGTAAACAATGCTTTGAGAGTGTTGAATGTTGAATCTTGTACAAAAACCTACAAAAATGGTATTTGCAGGGAATTTTATTGCACCGTTTTAGAGACTAAGTGAACATGCTGTGGGGAAACAATATGCAGACATTTTTTGATGCTTCAAAAATAATCACTATGGCGCTCGAAAATTTGAAGATGAACTGCAGGATTAGTTAATGAAGATGAATGCCAGTCATTAGCTGACCTTGCAAAATCATTACGAGTAGATAGCAACAAATTCGAAACATCTGAAAGCATTAGGAACATTACAGAAGCGAAGACTTTGGGGGCTGTGCAAGTTTAAGCCAATCATGGTTGGTGATGAAAAGTGGATACAGTATAATAACCCTAAGCATATAAGATTGTGGGGTAAGCACATCCATAAATCAACAGCATGCTCAAAGCCAAATATCCATGGTTTGAAGGCGTTTCTCTGAATTTGGTAGCATCAGCTGGATGTTATTTATTGAGATTCTCAAACTAAACTAAACTATCACAGGGGACCTATGAACTGCAATAGATGCTTTGAACCAAGCCCTAAAGGAAAAAGCCGTTATATGACAGAGACAACAATCAGCAACACGTGGCAAAATTGGTAAAAACCTACTTGGAAACCTTTAAATGGAAAGTCCTGTCCAATCTGCCATTTTCACTGGGAATTGCTCCCTTCCGATTACAACCATTTGATGGCACATGACCATGGAGCAGCGCTTCCATTCTTATGAAGATACCAAAAAGTGAGTTGATTCTTGGATAGCCACAAAAGATGTATGATTTTTCCAACACTGAATTCATTTGCTGCTCAGAAGATTGACAAAAGCAGAGGCTAGTGATGGGGGGAGTTTCACTGAGTGACATATGTAGCACATACTGAAAATTATTTATTTAGTAACACCCTTGTTCATATACAGAGTGAGCCATATAACTATAGAACCTCCTGTAACTTTTGAATAATCAAAATTATTGCAGTGCAATTTTCACAGAAGTGCATGAGAGAATGGGGCAAATTTATGTATATACAGTAAAACACCGCTTTTAAGTTTCCGTAATTTACATTTTCCCGGCCATTACAAAATTTCCTGTAGGTCTTGTCAGTTTGCATACATTCATAATGTTATAAACACCCCGCATATACGATGGTATAATTTCAATTTTCCCGCCATTTACATCTGGTTACCACAACATCATCTGGAGAGCTTTTCGTGTTGTGCAAAATGGGTACTGCCGTTGCACTTTTGCTTGCCGCTTTAAAAATGGCCATAAGAGAATGCCAATTGAAATGGTACAATTTAAAAAATTATGAAATGTTCCAGGTAGACTAGACAATTTTAAAATAGTGAAAATCATTAATTAGCAGCTAGGGCTATATGAATTTTTATTTAGTAACATTACAGAGATATTTAAAAACATAATAGAGGTAGAAAAAATGGATAATATGCATTAGCATATACAATCTGTGCCACACAAGTGTTGCGTTGAGATGACGGGTGTCACCTAATGCTGAGGACGCAAGCTTTGTAGATACGTGCGTACACAAGTCACTTAACGCGCATGGTAAGTCAACATCATTTACACGTAACATGTGGCTTGGGTGTCTTGCTTCAGCTGTGGGCACTACACACATCGCTAAGACCGCTCGCGTGCCCTTTCGCATAAGTGTTTATCTACAAAACGTGTCATGTAACGTGTGCAGTCCTTTAGTGTTAAGTGACGCGTGTAAATGTAACACTTACGTGCCTAAGAGGTAGCCTCACGATCATTTGTTAATTTTACATCCTCCTCCTTCCCAATTTCACACTTTCTCATTCTAAAATAAATAATTTTTTCCATTCTTTAAAATCTCAAACATCATAGTATGAATTTCTGCATAATTTTGATCTGTAAATTAGTTTCGTGAACATTTCCTATTATTTCATAAATAAATATATAAAAGAATACTAGCTGGAAAACATTATGAACTACCAAAAACAAACATTTTGTGTGTTTGGGATAATGTTAACTTCACATTTTTCTCTTACAGTACAAATTCCATTTTTTCCTTCATTGAACAATGAGTACATTGTTGCACTGTCGAAGGTTATGATCAGTGGAATGCTGGGACTTGAAGTATCCTGCGACATGCCTTTGATTTCTAATGTCAATTTTGGTTGATTCCTATTTGATCTTGTAATACTGATTATTATCTAATACTGTATATTAAAACATATTCTAATCCTCATTGATTGTAAGTATCTAGATATATGCTATATGGAAATATTTTAGTACAAAACTGAATGAAAAAAATATTTCAACAACAAATTATCCCAAAAATTTAAAAATGAAAACCATTTTCTGTAACAAACCATGATCTTCTTCCTACTCCTATTAATGCAGCATAACACTGCCCCCTTTCAGTGTATAATTTAAGGACACCCCATACAACAAGAATCAAACCCTTTTTAAAAATAAAAATTGATAATCCCTGATTAATTTTAACTTGTTTCTTCAAAGAATACCCCAACACTCCCCCTTTCACGTAAGAATTTTAGGCTTCCCAGAGGTGGTGTTACTATACTATAATTTTCGCAACTCTGCTACTGGCAGGTATCAGCTGTAGACAGTTTCATCTAATTGGGAGTTTAAACGTCACCCACGTTCAAGCTCCCTATTGGATGAAACCGTGAACAGCTGATACCTACCAAGGGCAGAATTGCATAAATCATAGTACACTGTATAGAAAGAGTGAAGAAGAGGACCTTGGAGGAAATCATATTATTATTATTATTATTATTATTATTATTATTATTATTATTATAATCTTATCTAATATCTAATTTTATTTAGTTATTGATTGTTCTAGGAACACTACAGAGTATTTTATAGAACCAATAAGCTTATAGTGGCATATTGAACATTTATGCAACCGGCCCTGAGTATAAGAATTCAGATGGTACAGACAGTACGAAAATTTGCCTAATAACAAATACAGTGGACACTGCTTATTGTTATCACTACGGGCTGCAGATAATACAACATTAGCTGATTTGATAACAATAGGCAAAGTATTCTAACTGAAGATAAGTAAATGAAAAAGAAATCGACATCAACTACAAGTTTACTATGGGAAACATCCATTCATAATATATTCCTCATATTCAATTCATAATATTGTTCCTTCTATAACTAATATAATATAAAGTGAGAGATATCTCGCTATGTTTTTAAAAAAACGCAGGCACTGAAAATTAGTATTATAGAAGTTTTGTATTTTTCCCAGTTCTTGGGCGTCTTAGACCCCTCTCATGAGTGAAACAGCTTTCTTTTAATTTCTGCTAGTGTTGAAAATTAATAATATAGATAATTATAATAATGTAACAGATCATCTCTCGTTCGAGATCAGAAAGATGTGAAACATCATAGGTCAACCAAATAGTAATTTAAGCTCAGTAGTTTGTTTCATAAAATTTCAGTTAAGAACTTGACCAAACTTCCAGGTTATTCAAAAGTTTGGAAAAAGCAAGACTGTTAATGGGGACCACGATCAGTATAAAGTATTGAAGAGAGAGAGACAGCTGCTAGATCGACTCCTTAGGAAGCAGGTTGCAATATGGAATAGATTTCACAGCAGCAAAGCGGAACTCCCAATCCAGTTACAGTTTACAAAAGCTACCAGTAAAGTCAAACCCTTATTTGTTTTATACAGGCATACCGGCACCTCCCAAACAAAGTTACATTTTCAAGATTTAACTTAAGTTATGAAAATATTGAAATCAGACCATTTTTAAGTGAATTGTTTTTATCTTGCACGTAAGAGATATGCTGTAGATTGCATTGAAGGTAAATATATCTGTCCACTGTAAATTTGTTAAAAACAATGGAAAGTAAATAAAGAGAGAAAAACATGCTTTGCAGAACAATGAATACTTCACTATAAAATAAATTTACCTTCAGACAAGAGCTGCAATGCTTCTGCAAACCAGAAAATCAGTTTCTAGTCTTGAATGAAGCAAACTTTGTTCATTCCACGAAATCATGTTCCTGTGGGCATTAGAGGTAGTATTAACCAAAAGTATAATTTTAAGACATTTGAAAGAATTTAATGGGTATTCAAACTACAACTAAAAATTAATTTCTTTCAGGACAAGCATGCAGTTCGTTTGATGTGAAACTACAAGTTCTGGTAAGTAAACAGAGGAAGGCTAAACCTCTTATTCCTATGCTGATTTATAGCAGAAAATCCATCGAAAAAGGTAACTTTAGTTTAAGAGAGAATCCAATGCACATAATTTAACAATGTTCACGATTATTTTACATGAATAAGGTATAACTGAAGCTGAATAAGAAGAAAGTAATTAGAAGTGTTAGTATAGGATGAACTGCCAATCTTTAAATAAACCCTGCCATAGCATGCAAAATAAGGGAAAAATAAAAATACTCGAATATATTAAAGACTTGCTGTATTCCCAACGAAGTTGTAGTAGATGCTCTGTTCCTGCTACAGAATTAACTACATACTCTAACACCAAGAACACAATCAACATCCAATGTAATGAACATTTAAGGTATATTTGATAAAACTTGCTTGGCCTGTTGGGCAGGTACATGCTATAAAATTAACTAAGGTCTACAAGTATAGAAGTAAACAGACCTGAACAGATTTCTAATAATTAGCCTCATTGAATTCATTACTGATTTATGAACAGTTGTAGAGAAAGGAATATTTCCAAGACAGTTTCTTATAGCTTTGTGGAGTCCATTATATAGAGGGTACAGTATTTGTCCCCAGTTCAACTTCTCAGATTTAAAATTCTCAGTATTCACAAACAGCAGGTTTCATGCAACACCTGCATTTAAATGAGGCCCATGTCATTTGATTTAGTATTCACTTCATCATCATCATCACCACCTGCTTTTAGTTCAGAACCTTCGGTGTAAAATATATTGAAAGTGAGAGTGGCCCATTTTGAATGGAGCTTGACATTAAGAGAAGCAAGTTTTCAACTATCAGGCATGTCTAACTCATCTGATGAATAGGAGACAATTAGTCATTTTGCTACTTCTATTAAGCTGCTACGTATCTGTACTAATATTTATCCTTCCAGTCTCCAACTTTGTGTATGTATGTGTACTTTTGTTAGAACTGCTGTAATCATCACTTCAGACTATTCACATTTTCAAGCTTCTGCAATTTCCCCAACAGAGCTTGACATGCCTGACTAATACCTTAAATCAGAAAAAACAAAACATTTTGGTCTTTGCATGTGTGTGTTAGAACACTTGTTACAACTCACCTGACCAGTTTTCTTAGATCATTTCATGGCATTTAATGATTGCCTCTCTCGTCAATCTCCCTCTGATTTTGTACAGAACAAGTTTTCTTTCCTGGTATAAAAACTGACTTCAAGAAAGATGTAAGAGCCATTACAATGAACATTAAAATATTAATTTAATATATACATGTATGATTCTCTTAGTTTTAATCTATATACCTTACATATTTCCTGCTAATGCAATAAAAATAAAAAAAAAAAAAAAATACAATTTTTTAGGCATGTTAATTCCTCAAAATTAATGACTCTCGATATTTTGGCAAAATTACCAGCCAATTTACTGTTTAATATTCCAGTCATTTTCATCACTCACATATCAACAGATATGATAACTGACATATATTGCTCAGAGAAGATATGACTAATTCAATGACAGAGTGGGTACAGAAAGACCATTGATAATTTGCCTCCGAGGAATTTGGCATCAAAGACAGACTAGAAACAACTTACCTACTCTGCACAAATTACTTCATGGTTATTACTTGTTCCAGATGGTGGTGGCAGAAAAGAATTCATAAAATTTAAATGTTATCTTCAGTACTTCAACCACAATCTAAACAGGTTAACTGATCTGCTGGTTTGCAAGTTATCACCTTCCTGTTTTACTTATTCTGCTGCCACAAAACGTTTTAATAATCTGTTGATGGATTGGAAGCATTTCCAAATTCTCTATAGCACAACTTTTAATGAAAGGGAATGGTCTCTGGTATTTTGTCAGGTATCAAAAGCTTTAAACAAGGTTTGTTTCTTTTTAATCGAGATCTATAATTACATTTTAAATGGCTCTATAAGTACTTATGAGTGTCACTGTTTAATACAAATAAATCTCTTCATCTTTGTCCCAAGAGGAAAAAAAACAAAAACCAACAAATTCAATAAAATTTACATTTTTATATTTATTAATATTCAGATGCACAAGATTCAGAAAAGACAAACCTAAATGCACGGTTTAGACATGCTTCAGATGTTCTATATGTATACTGATCATAAATATTTGTAACTTGTAGCAAATCCTTTTTAAGTGTATTCTGGAATGTCATATAGTGCCTACACAGCTATGAGTTGATGGCAATGAAAATATTTTAAAATTAAGTCATGAAATGGAAGTACACATAAAGCACTAAACTAAAACTCAAGTGTTAACAAGATTTCATGTTAATGACTTGCACAGAAGTCATGTCATAGGTAATTAAACATCAATATGCAACTTTCCTTTCCATGTTATCAATGCATCAGAATACTTCCAGACAATTCTTCTGAACAGTTTTGTATTTTAAAACATTAGTGAGAAAGTGAATCTATAAAAGTTCTACAGCCATAATGACAAAGGGAACACATCACACAATGCTGGGGTGTTCTCCAGCCTTTCAAATGACTTCAAAGAACACAGAATGGTGATGACAGAAAGTCAAGTCACCATGTCTACACAAAATCTGCACTGATGACATTTGACTCCACTAATGAAAACTGCCTTATGACAATTGTTTTTCATGTAGTTGGTCTTGTCACAACTTTGATTAATCCTAGTAGCGGCGGGATTGACCGCCATAATCTCGAGATTGACCATAACCAGCAGAACTGCCACCTGAAAGGAATCGAATAGTAACACACAAACACATTAAATTGTTCTTCGAGGTTTTGTCACGATTTTGAAAATACATTATTCTCAGATTTTCCTTTAAAATTTGTTTAAAACTGTATTTTCTTGGTTAGATAAAATATCTTAATAAACTCTCTTCTTCTGAAAGGTTATACAGAAGATCTTTTTAGCATAACAGCAGTTAGAGCACAATTCTTAAAATACCTGACACTCCTACATGCCGTTTTAAGTAATAAAATACTAAAACCTTAATTGCAGGCTATTGGGCCACTTTGGTAAACTTTCCCATTCAATGTTGTGTTATTATATAGTTTTTCAATGCAAGTCATTGGGAAGTCCTTCATACAAATGTAAGCATTGCTAATTTACTGAAGATAATCCATGTTTGTTTTTTGTATTTGTATATTTCTATAAAAACTCTGAATGCTTAGATGTTATTTCACGAACTGAATAAATGCAAACATTCCTGTTTTGATTGAACTGCACATTGTCATTCAACTAACCACTCTCACAAAAAATTCCTATATTTTGTTGCTTTACTGTCATGTTCCTTCTCTCCCAAATAATCGTTTCATGTGTCTCCATTTTATCACCATTTTGAAACTACACAAAGTTCAACTGACAGGCATGAAAGGATTAATTAACCCCCCTTGATGCAATATATACACTCACCGTATTCTGGTTTTCCATAGCCACCTCCTCCACCGCTATAATTAGGAGAATCTGAAAAAATAGAAACACACACACACACATTAAGTAATGATTTCAAGCTACAGTAAAAACTCCCTTTTTTAACTTTTCAGGGGACTGATGGAAAAAGGGGTAAAATGCAGGAAAATTAAAAATGATACAAATGCAAGTATAGACTTTACGATTGGACCAATGAAAAATCGCATAAAAGGCATGAAAACAAAAACGGGATTTTATTGTATCAAATTTATAAAAAGTAGAATTTCTATCCAGTAATATCTTGTATCAAGCCACTAACATTCAATACATTTTATTCCTGTAAATACAGTTCTTTCTGTAATTGAGGTGAAGTCACTCTCTAGAAGGACTTCTTCACTTTTAAAATTATATTCTAGTACATCAATCTACAAATCCTACATACTCTCAAGTTTGAAGTTTATAAGCAATTACAGTACACAGAAGACAAAATATTTTAAGTTCGGCAAATTTTAATTTCTAGGCATTAATGTTTTTCATGACATAACTTTAAAATTATTAGATAGTCATATCCAGGGCTTGGATCCCGACGACCTAAAAATTCTTTGAAAATGATTAAACTAATTTTTTTAATAATTCTCAAAACTTTGGAAGAAAAGTACTTATTCTATGAATTTTACATATTTAAATTAATAGAAAGACCTTATTTTAGAAGGATATGTAATCCATTGATTTGATCTCCAAACAGTCATTTTTGAAAGCTCAAAGAAATTATCAAAGATTCGTATAATTTTGAGTGTTCGAACAGAGTCAACACCATGAGTGAATTTTGGTCATGACAAAAGATACAATAGAAACTGTTTCAGTGTCTGCTTGTAAATTCATGTAATGATCACCATCAAAAAACACTAAAAGGAAGAAAATACTTGATGCAAAATGACACAGAGGCCCAAAAAATGACCTAAAAATTGAAAAATGGCAAAAGTGACCTGGTAACTAAACATTTCTTTCACCTGTATGTTGTGCTAAGCATTAATTTACAAGTACGCTATGACTATAACGTATCAATGAAAAGATGACAAGTCATCAGAATCTTTGTCCTACCATAAAATGGAACACAAACTCATAACTAGTATTTAAATTAATATGTTAAGTAATATTTTTCTATAACTTATCTAGTCATACTCTTTACAGACACCACATGTTACATAAAATATAGGTCTTCAGAGAAGTACTTTTGGCATAGTCATTTTAGCAAATAGACTCCAAACAAAAAAGGTCAACAAACACAAAGGCAAAAACAAATGTAACCTCTCAAGAATGTTCATCAATACATAAACATACAATGGTTTTAAAAGCCTGCGTGACAGGGTAACTGTGTGTGTGTTTATATCTTTCTCTCTCTCATATATATATATATATATATATATATATATATATATATATATATAAATAAAAATACACAAGAGAAAAAGAGGGGAGGTGTTTTGGTGGGATAGTCTCTAGATCTCCACAAAGTACTTACTGGGATCAAATCAAATTTAATAGCACTAATTGTTATGAAATCCAGTACATTTTTTTTAACATTTTAAATTACCATAAATGACATGATATAATCAAAACACAGTATTAGGATTATTAGCATCCTCTTTGCCAATGATCCAACACCTACTCGTACAAACAAACAGGCCCATCTAACAGAGGAGTTAGCAAATGACTTTTATATCAGATTTGTGCTTAAAGCATGCTCCCAGAGTCCTTAACAAATTCTTAGGAAAGTACAAGTTGGTAAACCACAGGAACACAAAATGGGAGAAATCACATTGTATCATTAAGATCTTTATTAAAAAATTTCTATTACCTGAAACAGTAAGTAATGCTCCTGCAAGAAAGAATGGACATCCTTATTCACTGAAGACCTATAGTGTACTTTCGTGGCAAGTTATTAAATCAACAGTAATCTCCACCAGTCTCCTTTTTGTTATACCATTACCTTAATTCTTTTTCTCCTTTCTCATACCTTAATCATCTTTTTGTTATACCATTCAAAATTATTCAAGGCGACTACATAATAAAAAGTCAATTTACAATATGTGCCTGATTGTTGTCCACTGAAAGTCTAATATTTACAGAAATCTTAGTCAATCGGTTCCCAGAAGAGAAGGAAATAAGAGAAAGGGGAAATGGGGGGGGGGCTTGCTGGCTGTCAGTGGAATTGATGTGGCCATTTGACTAGGTTTCTTTGTAGTAAAGAATAGTTTATCAAATACTGAGGCTATGCACATGACCTTAGTCTTACAAATTGTTCAAAATTAATTTTTAAAAAGACACATGAAAATTAGCTAAGCAGTCTAAATTCCATAATTCACTAGATAGCACTAAGAAACATACTAAATAATAGATCTGAAATGTCTTTTTCCTCGCATCTGTCCCATTACAGGTAAACAGCATGTTTAAAAAGGAGGTTAAACAAAGAAAAATAAAAGAAGCAAGAAAACGTTACTATTTGAGAAATCCACCGATTTCAACTCACTACACTTACTGATACTAAATGTGACATTGGATTTTTCTTTTAATTGGAATAAATCTTTCAACCGTGAAACGTTTCAACGTGAAAGATTTTTGTCTAAAGATAACTGAATTATCAATTTCTTAACTGCTAAAAAGAAATTCTTGTATATTAAAAACTAGACTATACTGAGATAGGTAATAAAAAATATCTAGGGGCAATGTGCCCATCATACTGGAAGGTTTTAGAAAGGACAGCCATAATTTTTCCTGTGGGCGACAATCAAATCTGCATAATTGTCACTTTACACTGGAACAAGATATGCAACGTAACTTCAAATTAACTTCTCCCCATAGCATGTCACACAGTTTTTTAACCAGTTTTTGACATAAATAAATAAACAACATTCATCCCCTTTCTTTCCCCTTCAATTACTATCTAATATTGCTTTTAAAATACAAAACCAAAACTAGATACAAAGATTGATTTCCTGCACATTTTCACTGCTTTGCCACAAAAAAGAAAGAGTTGATAATTTCGTACACTGAAACGTGGATTAAATGACCACTGTTGATTCTCAGTGAAGAAAGTGGTCTTTTAGAAGGGTCACTTAACAACAACAAAACACCACCTTATGCTTATTTGTAATGTCAGTGAAATGGTACCAGTGACTTAAGTTCACTATAACGCAAGTTTACTATATTTACAAATCTTAAGTAAAAATACAATCTCATCCAGAACACACTATTCTATTTAGAACCAATTTTTAAAAGTTCCATGTATTATAAAGACGAAACTCGTACAGTGTGTTCAGAAGTCTACTCTAACTACTATGAAGGTTTTAAAACATGGAAAACTGAATGCATTAGAATGTATTACTACCACCATCTTATTAACAAACAAAAATTTAGCTTAACAGTCTTGTACCAATGCCAGAAACTGGCACTGATACCAGAAAAAAAATCGTCATCGTCAGATATGAATCCATGATTTTAATGTGTTTATAGGCTGGTCTAACAAAGCAATGCCAGAATTTCCACGAATCTATAATGCAAGACTGTTTCAAATTGTTTTGTAAACATGTTAAGTTTGAAAGACAATTTATCACTTATTATGAATTCCTTTACCTAACAATGAGGGGAAAATCTCTGCTACAATCCATTGTTGATCACCCTCGCCACCATTGTTGTGACACTTAAAACGTATTTGTTTTACATTCTTTTTAAGCTCGTTTTACACAACATATTAATTACAACATTTAGAGGTTTCAGATATTTACGTGATCTCTCAAAATATATATTTTATGGAAGAACAATGGACTTTTTTTTTTAAATGAACATTAAATTGACATCAATTGCGTGTAATGCTCTCCCTGCCCTTAATGAACTAATCAGATAAATATTTGTGCTTCAGATTTGATGTAAACAGAAACCCTCTATAAGTAATGCAGTAACTTGTGTGCCAGTCTCTCCATTAAGGCATAGGCGACATCAGGGGCAATGCAAGGCTACCTTTGCATCCTGGCCTCAGGTGTTGACAGGGACAGTGGGTACAAACATGCAACACAGCATCCTTATAACATATATAGAGCAAGCAATGAGTCTTGTCAAGTTGAATATGTCAAACGAGCTTTGAATCAAGTGCCAAATTTTGCAAAAAGTCAAATGGTGCTTCACATATAGTTTTTTGCTTAAGTAGTGCCCTACTTCTGAACTCAATGTCATTTTAAACTTAAATTTATTGAATCCTCTGAAAGATCTCTTATGAATGAATCCAAATTTAAAGACTTGATAACCTACAGTAACCTTACACTAGAGAAAGCAGCAAATTAAAAAATATAAAATAAATGGAAATTTCTTTAATTGAACGAAAGATTCAAGCGTTTGCAATATTCACTTTGATTTTACACATATGATATTGCTTGTTAAGGGGGAGACTGGGGAAACCTTTGTTTGAAAGCTCCTCTGAAATTAGGTTGTTATCCCATTAAGGCTTCCATCTTGGCAACAGTTGTGTGGGTTGCATCTTGAAACAATACTACCTACATCATGTTTGCCAACCACTTTTAGAGCGTCCTTTTATAAGAATGGGCTGAAGTGTCAGTTTGCGAAACAAGTAAATATCAGTGTACTTCAGAAAAGTATCCCTCCGCCACGTCAGCTGTTTATACTCCCTTCGTAGTGTTTGTTTACAGCCTCCCAAGAAGACATAACTATACAGAAGTGAGTTTCGCTTAGCTAGAACGTATATAAGCGAGTCAGAGAAATGTCAAAACTTTTTTACATATGTGAAATGATGACTTAACATGCTCTCACATTCAGTAAAAGAAAACTGCCATGAATGTAAATAGAAAGAAAAATGATTTTTGAAGGGACTTTCATATACCTTTTTTGGACTTTTCACTGTGAATGGCTCATGCATTTTTGTAGTGAAGAGGGTGGTTTATTTATTATTATAACACCCCAACTATCAAAACTTGGTACTATGCTCTTATAATTCAAATGTGTTTTAATAATTGTTTCACATTTCAGTAATGTTATGCATTTCAATATATTTCCTTGATCTATCTAGTATGTCTTTTCATCTATTTCTTGGATGAATAGTACTCACAATCTCTGTTCACTCTCACCAATTAAAACATCTAAACAGTGAGTGCTACCTTTCACTTGTATTCTTGCATCCACAACTAAAGGCTTTACTAAATTTGCTTGAGTTTTTTTCCTTTACAAGCATTCACTTTTCACATGAATATTTTAAATACCAATTCTCAATAGAACATATCTCTATGATGTTAAAGGAATAAATGGGGCACTCCCATACACAGCTCACCAGTCACGACACAGCGCAGAAGCAGGAAACACGTGAACCGTCACCAGTAAGCATCTCACATTCAAGGCTCAATTTTAAAACAAATGTAATATTTATTACATAAAAACTCAATTCTATGCAATGCTAAAATAAATAAATAATAAGATTAAACACATAGCTCTGCACTTATTTATTTCAATTATTTCTCGTGGCACACTATATTTTCATCGGGCCAGGACATCACAAAGAGAAACGTTGAAGCCATTTACAAGTTAGCCAACTGCAAACTAACGAATGGAGGAAGGAGAGTCTAATAGGTTCAAGGACACAATGACAACCAAACCTTCAGTTGTGTTGCCAGCAGTAGCTGTTAAATTATCCCATTCTAATAAAAATAACTATATAAACGAAGGGCTTCAGGTAGTAACGAGACTAATTAGTCACAGGGTGCCTTATACTATTCAATGTTAATATCCTGACTTTGGTTGTAAGCAGTGCTTTCCTTGATGATGGCCCAAGCATTTCATGTTTAGACAAACTTTGAACATGAATGGTAACTTAAAGCAATGTTTCATTTTCTACCTCAATAAATAGAATTACAATATAATGCAGTCTTGATAATTCCCCAAGTGTTTTCGTGCTCTTCGACATCTTGACTTGCCCTGATTATATTTGGGTAAATCATTTAGTTCAAATTAGATACCAACACAAAGCAAGTATAAATAGATTAGGAAATACAAAAAACCTAAAGAGAATCACAGTGAAAGATTTTTATTTGATACAGCCAATGCCTGAATCTAGTTAATTTTTAAAATTAGCCGATTATGTTCACATTATCGAAAATTAGTAGAAAAAGACCAAAGTACAAACTGCAACAAACTTGAGACGGATGAAGTGCACATGAGCCAACAAGAGGTTGCTAGAGTAGGTGAAGTACATAATGTTGATGAGGAATAAACTGTTTTAAGTTTTAAGTTTTTGTACTAACTTATTTTATGATACCATCTACCCTACAAATATACACGACGCTTCACCAACCAATTATTTCCTATGGGGCAATGACATTTTGGCCTATACGATTCTACCCCCCTCCCCATTGCACAAGCCTTCCCCTCAGCCTACCACCTTTCTGAAGTACTACGATTTAAAAATTGTAGAAAGACAGAATTGAGTCTGCCAAATTTCAACATTGTCAGGATACACACCAGAATAAGCCATAAATAGAAATGTGTCACATACATTCCATGCAAAACTCAGTCACTGGAGCTCTGTGTGCAGACGTAAACTTTTGAGTCTCCTAAACAAAAGATGGTACGACTCTTCTCTGTTGTGATGTTTGGGAGATAGCAAAAGATATGAATGGGTTAAAACAACCTAAGAGCCTGTGAGATACATAATTTCCAATGCATTTTTCTGTCAAAAAATTTCATGAAAATAAAGATCCTTACTGAACACTTTGAGAATTGGCCAGATAACCAAATCAGTTCATTCCCACAGCTTTTTACATACCACCTGGCTAATGTGGGCAAACTAACAAGCTAATTCCTGAATAATCCTTATTTCACACTTCTCTTTCCATATTCCGTAACATTTATTGCATTATATACAAAACAAAGTTTTCTTACCGATGCTGAAGATGCTTCATAATGCACGAAGAAACTAGGTGCTAGGATAGCATGTACTTACTTGAATCAGTAAAGCTTATGTAAAATCATAATATCACAATTTGTGTCTGTACTAGCAACTTCTATAAGCAATCCAACTTCAATTACCAACACATGAGTGCACAAACACAAACATAACCAGGAAAGTTATGAAGACTTAAAAAGTCCAACCCAACCACCAATAAAGGGAAATTAACTAGAACTGGTTATCCTTTTTGAACTTGTCTGCACATTAAGATTCATAAAAGTGTTGAGCTGTTCTGTCCGAGATGTTCTTTCATTCTCTAGAGCTCAATATTTTGTAAACAAATTAAAACAAACAAAAAACCACCACCACCACACACTAATAAAAATAAAATTATAACCCTACCAAGTTCTCTAGTTTCCCCAATATCACCATTAATTATACCTTTTAATGACTAGTAGTTAAATAATTACACATATGCAAATTATGTGTGTACATGTACACACAGGAGTTTCATGTTTGTTAGGGTTACTGTGTGTGGGTAATTCTCTCCGGCAACACTTTTTCCCATCAACTGGTGAGTGTTTCACACTTTAAAAATAAAACATGTTGGATAACAACACATGGAAAATAAAACAAGTAGGACATGTACTGCATTGAAGAAACATTCATTAGGACGGTTTGTGTTCTAGAGAAGAACATTCATTACTTTCACATTCTCTCCACAAGAGCATAATAGTATCTGAAACCACTGTGAGAGAAATACCTCTCAGAATGTTGTGTGTTTGAAACAATTTTTAAAACCACAAAATACATTTATAAAACACAAAAAATAAATAAAATAAAGGAAAGTGGGAAGAGTAATGAAGGAACATCTGTGGACAGCAAACTTTATGAACATGAAGGAAAAGACTACCATATGTGTTTGTAGAGGTGGAGTAGCCCCTCTCATCGTAGTTAGAGGCTGTGTTGTAGCCTCCTGAGCCACTGCTGTAGCCACCTCCACCCCCTCCATATGAATCATGTGCAGGTGCTCCTGAAAGCAAATTAAATGTATTTCATCCACCGCCGTCACCTAATGTGGAACGCCAGTACACTTCAAACTGCACCATCAGGCATTCAGCAAATTAAATTTGGGGGGGGGAAAGAAGAAGAAGTTTAGTAAGAGTGCACATGTGAGTGCATGGGTACACTTTCCACAGCCATAAATGAACTGTGGACCATAATATGTTTTTAAGTTTGGGAAGAACATGATCCACATTTATCAAGAATGTAGTGTGAATTGTTCTGAGAGGTATTTATGAATGCGAGGATGTGAAATGCAAAGTATTAATAACAAAAATATTTTAGGAAACCTTCAGAACTTTTTTAGTAGCCTAGAATTTCACCAGTTTATTTAGCTAGGGAGTCTCAACTTACACTCTTTTATATATATTTAATAAAACTTCTATCAAACGTGTGCATCTTAAGAGTGACACCACAACTGAATATCTACCTTACCTACAAACATAGTTGAATATTCTGCTGCTGAATAATTTTTAATTATTTACAATGAAGAAATTTTAATGAAAGCATTTGACCCAAATTAAGGCTGATTATTAACCAAATATAACTTTTTAAAATAATAGGGTTGCTAATTACTAGAAATTTATTATATATTGTGAGAGTACTTTCGAATACTTCACAAATCCTTCACACCCATTGGAGAACCTTCATTTCGAGCCAGTTGAACATGTACACATTTAAGATGCCACATGAAAAGAAAAAAAAAATCCAATAAAAGCAGTCAATCTACTGAATGAAGATCTGCATACCACCTGCTATCTGCAGCTCCGAGCAGCAACTTGAGATTTTGTCAATTATGCAATACAAATGGAGAAACAAGGGAAAAATACTGAGGCTCTAAACTACACAAGTGTACCTCCATAGTTACTACTCTCACCTGTCCCACACCTGACTGACTAACACAGAATGTTGACCAAAACCTGTGAAGAAATGTTGCAGAGGTAGACCACTTGCATCAAGAAAGCTTTCCAGTTCTTGTAAACCAACCTGGCAGTCACATGCCATCCATCCTTCTTCCTCATTTCCTAAACACACTAAGTTATCTTTCAACTGTTTTCTCATCTCTATACTACGTGCATTCCGAAGATTTTTTTCTTCTGAAAGTAGTAATACAATAAATATTTGGTAATGATCTACCAAGGGAAGCAGTACACCCGTTTTGTGGATTGCTATTTCAGTATTTTCACTGAAGTAAAATCCAAATTACCCTTCACAAGAATGGCAATCGGTAATTCTTGCCTAGGAACACTGAGACAAACCATGTCAGCAATGCTAATCCAATTCATGAAACATTCATCAACTAATCATAAACCTTTACTGCAACATTTTAAAAAGCTGATTTAGTCACAGTCACCCATCAAGTTGTTTAGCAATCTACTTTTAAGAAGTTAAAACATTTACATTTGACCTGCATGTGCTCTGACAAATGCTTGTAAGTCCCTTGCCAAAAACACTGAGCACCAAAAGAATTTTTTTTTAGAAAATCAGCACAACAGTTCAGTAAGTAAATAACACACACTAGTGAATACTATATCTTGAATGCTAATAATTCTTACAAGCAGCGATTCATTTTTTAGTTCAATTATTTTCTATTCAGATCGACCTTAGTTCTTTATTCAGTCACCTCACCAGATTGCTACTGAAATGAGTGTACTGGGTACAAAAAGGTTGTAAGAGTTGCTTCCCAATCAATGGAAGAAATCATATCCGAGTGGAATAACACATTGAACAGCATGCTCAAACTTCACAGGAAACAACTCCAAAACAAGCTTTATATATATTTATCTGAAGTAAAGCAAATCTTTGTTGTTTATTGCTCAGTTTGGAAGAGGAGAAAAAAAGAAAAGATTGCCTACCTAAAAAGTGGATTTTGTTCCTTTATTAATATGTCCGGGTTTTGGAAAAGTATTTACAGTAATTCTAAGATTTCAGCTCCAATTTATAACTCGAATCGTGTAAAAATATCATTACCCTTACCAAAAATTGGTAATGCAATTATCTGAAGGTACTCTATTTTCCTAGGCAATTACAGCTTCAATATCCTATTATTTTCCAGATTTCCCTGTTTTTCCAGAAACCTGTCACCATGATAATATCCGAACTGTCACTTCAAATGTCTTATACACACTCCCTCACCCACCCATCATGAAGTGAATTGCTAGCGATACCAAGCCATAAACAAATGATAACAGTTTGGCTTATCAGCTCAAATGGCCTCTGATGTGTAATTTGTTTTAGGGTTCATATAATTATTTTGATAAAGTTCGGTGTGGGAAGCAGTTTGGGAAAGGTTCTTCTAATAAGGTTCAGGATACCCACAGGAGATACCAAGAATATGGAGATTGGCATTAAGTTACTATACTACTGGTACTAAATATAGTACCTCTTGGAGCATTAAGAAATTAATTTTTTGTGACTTATCTTTATTATGTTTAAAGTATGTAAAGAATTCATTATCTAGAAGACAAAGCAGATTTCATAATAATAATAATAATAATTATTATTATTTATTTGCCTAAGAGCAGAACTAAGCAGCATGCACAGACCGTTCCAGGCATACACATGTGTAAACAGAAACCATCTGTATTTGACTTTCAGCATTTGAGGGTTTAAAACATGAAGAGATATTCTTTAATACTAAGTAAATTAAAAATATTTTCACCCACTACGAACTATACATGGTATAAACAATTTTAACAAAATATTCTTACGCAGCAAATGCATGAATTACAGAGAGAGAATTAACACTAATACAATTTTTTCAATTCTGAGTTTTGTTACCATTACATTGAAGATTTTTAAGGTAATGTGATAATCTGCTCTTTTTGATGCAATTTCAATGGACAAGGAAGGTTAGACTTAAGTCCTAGACTTGATGGCCCTATGGAAATGCTCATCAAATACTATCTGTTTTTACGATGGCAGAAGGGTAGGCTGGAAATAAAATTCTTCTAAGTCTGATGTTCTTTCAATTTTAGTCTGATAAAAAAATGAGTGCCCTACATTTACAAATTAAATATAACTATTGCAAAACTGGTAATGCATAACTTATTTTCTGGATTTTAATTTAATAAATATTTAATGTGCATTAGCACACCATTATTCCTGAATTACACCAAGAAACAAAATAGTACATGTAAAAGTATAAGTTCAGTTAGTACTCTATTTATGGCAAAGTTTAATTTAGGAACAAAAGTATCCAATAAAATTCTGAAAGTAATATTATAAAAAGAACATTTCCTTGTAATGTTATTCAGTGCTCAGTGTGGAGATCTACTGCCCTTCACTTTCAGCAAAGTACACAATTGTTCAATAAAATAAATGTTATAAGTTCAAAAAATTACCAATCACAACAATGCAGAAATGTATTTCAAGCACATAGGTCTAATTTTGACAAAATCAGCACCCTTACACCTGTCAACTACTTACATATTTGAGCAGATCTTACTTCCAAAATATCTTAGTAGCTGAAGTACCCATGTTCCGCAGATATTTATCATGACAATTGTTTAGTAAGGAAAATAAAGTCAATCTGCATCCCTGATGTGTGCCTCCCCCCCCCTATAAATTATGATTGTGAAAGGCAGCTATATGCATTAAATGCAGTAACAAATAATTATAAATTCCTACAGTACTCTTCCTTACAGTAAGAAATAAATATTTCATCCCTTGGGGGATGAGGTTTGAAAAATTACTTCTTAGCAATTATATAAATTGAAAAAGGAACCTTTACTCCAAATTTCTAGCTCAGTATTGTGGCTTTGAGCAGATACATTGGATTGATTCCTCCCTTTATAGATATTAATTTGTGGAATTCCAGTGTCACGTGAACCTTTGTGTGCTTTCACTACACTACCAAACTACCATAAGAAATATGCTAATGAGTTAACAAATTTTTTTGTAACTCCTACACATGTGAAAAATATTTGGAAAGAAAGGTGCTTGGTATTTATAATAATTTACAATGTAGACACTGCATTTATTTAGGTAATGACGTTACTAAAAAACATCTGACTACTGAATCTACTTTATTTCACATGGTAGTGGCCAAATAATAAACCCAAATATTACTTAAATAAAAAAGTATTCTTATACACCAAATCTCAAGCACAAAGGGAGAATGTCAAATGCTGATTACAAATCAAATTATTTTGGCAGGTTAGGGAGTACAGAAAAGTCGTTACAGGGTGACCAGGCAATATTGATTTTTTTAAAATTCAAGCTTTTCTGTTTTTCAGGCCTGCTTCAATATACTTTTTATCGATTGTTTCAAACACACTTTTCTATTTATTAGTTTGACCATTCTACGTTAGGCCTTTTCTTAACCCTGAACAATGGTATTAATTTGTACAAAAAAAAAAAAAAAAAAAAAAAAAAAAAAAAAAAAAAAAAAAAAAAAAAAAAAAAAAAAAAAAAAAAAAAAAAAAAAAAAAAAACCAACAACCAGCCCTGTTTCAGCAAAAGTCGATCTCAAGAGCGCTGCTGTTCAATTCAAGTTTTGATGAGTCAAGTGATGTCAAGAGGCGAGAAAGGAGAAACGAAAGAGAGAGGCGAGAAAGGAGAAGGGGAGAGCGAGAAGAAGGGGGGAGAGAGAGAGAGGCGAGAAGGAGCCCGAGAGAGAGGGAGAGAGAGCAAGGGACAGAGTGAGAGGGAGAGAGAGGCAAGGACAGAGTGAGAGGGAGGGGTGGAACAAATCCCAATGAGAATCAACCACATGTACAGTAGAGTTTCCGAGTTCTCCGGCTCTGTGACGTCATGCGATTACGCTGTGGGCAGTATTTATCAGTGAGCGGACGGAGAGGGGGTAGAGTGGGAATACGGGAAGAAGGTGAAGGCTAGGAGTGGGGAGGGATGGAGAGTAACTATTCAGTTAAAAACATTGGTCTTACCTAATCGCTATCCATGCGATGAGCTTATCGCTGTTTTTCACTTTCTTCACGCTCGTTATCCCGAGTCCATATTTATAACAATACTGTCCTATAATGTCCGGCACTATACCATCCCTTTCCCCAGTATTCATTTTTCTAGTTTTGTGACGTGAGAGCAAGATAGCCCGCATCCAGTGCTTCGGTAGTGACTTGTGTGATAGCCCAGTTTTGGTAGATCTAACAATTTGCTGTCGAACATGTCCCCATTTACATTTCCTTTCCTTTATGAGGTCTCCGATTTTTGCCATGCATTTCAATGGAAATTCAAGTTCACACTGTAAGGAGGGAGACGAATGACTGAATGGCCTACTGTAAACAGCTTCATCAATACCTTGTAAAATGTTGTTTCTAGGTTTTAGTTGGCAGAACTAGTTGATATAATTGCAGGCTTCCCTGCAGGTTACAATTAAAACGTGGCAATCCTTTTGCATTCAACGCATTGAATCAAATATCGCTTTACTTGAATATGCAGTTTGGGGTTTAATTAGCCACTACGGACTAGGAATATGGGGCATTAACTCGAGCACAATTACTGCATTAGAAGGCCGTTTTCTAATACTTTTTCTCTAACCCAGCTCTTTCAAAATTTTCTTGGTTCATTTGTCCATGGTAATCGCTGATTGCAGAACGCAGCTTTGAAATTAGTTCGCGGCGCATTAATGACAACCATTGTTTCCACCAGCGTGAACTACCAATTAGTCTAACTGATGCGCTTATGTTTGCCGTACACGCAATTATAATCGTCATGTGTCAAGCACATTTTAACCTACTAAGCTGTTGTCATCTATGTTTTCGTCAATATCACCTATTTCACGGCCTTTCTCCCTGTAAACTCCTCTTTGTACGAGATATTTTTGATCTCCAAATCAACAATGTCTGCTCTTTCGATCAATCACTTTACGTTTTGAATTACATTTCTTCCATCTGATCCCATCTTCTTCATCACCTCCATATGGTGACTTTGTTCCCAAGGAAAATTTGATCTTTCTTTTATTATGGGCAACATTGTTGAAAGCGTTGCACTTGCTTTTTTCACGGGACATAGAAATGCAAAGGATGGCGTTTCTGATAATGCCCATGTCAAGCTCATCTATTTTCACGGCGTTGGCAATGTAGAAAAACTGTTTCTTTTCTTTCGGTAAAGATAAGTCGCCTGTCAGCACTTCCTTCATTTTCGTATATTACTTTTCTTTTTGAATTGTTTTAGTACTAGTTACACCAACATCAGTAATATACCGCTGCTCTTTCTGTGGCTTTTGCCAGAGGAACTAGCAGATGATTTGTTCTTTTCTTTATTGCATGCCCTCATTACACTAGCTTATGATCTCCCGACCTTCCCACTGGTGAATTGTCGAATTCTATTTCGCGTTTTGGCCCATGTTCGCGTGTAACATTAGGCACTCTGAATCACAACTGAGCTGATGTTTGCGAAACCCAGTGGTCAGTGACCGAGTGCCAGCTTTGTTCTTTCCTACAGCCGCACTAATGATTTCACGAGGTGTCAACCAATATCCTAGCACGCTCATATCGCATTAATCGGCGTCTCCCTCCTCGCCGCGGAGAAACGTAAGACCGCCTCTCACAGGGGCCGGGAACCTTTGAACCAAAACAGTTACGTTCTTTTAAGACAGCAGCACTGCCGTCTTCAGACACACAAACAACAATCGTAAAGCAAACACACAGCATTGATTCAAACAAGCTTTCAGCCACTCCTTAACACATCAGTGAAGAGTTATGCATAAAAAAATTCAAAATCTCCAAATTACAAAATCATTGTCAAATTCCAACAACACCAGCAAAGCCAATGGCGTCCACAATTAGTCAACATTACTCCCCAAATTCGACATGCAACAATATATCAAAAATGAATCATTGGGTGGGTTAGTAACAACAATTTAATATTAACCATATTAGTCCAAAAATTCATTACGTGGAATGGGAAGGGGTAAGCCCGTTGGCCCCTTGACCTGGACTCAAAGCGGGCCACGCTTTGCCATTGGACCAACCCTGAGGTGGCATGCCACCACGTTTGCTGGACATAGCGATCCCCTTGTCCATCACCTCGACCACCTCTATCAAATCCACCCTCTTTCCTCCACGACCACCTCTGTCCATTCCCCTTCCTCCACGACCTGCAAACATGTTTTTAACTTTTAATTTTAGGCTAGCAGTTTATCTGATGCTTTTGGGAATATACTAAGAACAACATAGGTGTAAACTACTAAAAAAATATCTGAAATAATGGATTCCCTCCAACGGAAATTGCAATGAACAGTTATCCCACATACACTACCGCGAGAAAAGCTACCTCGGTCCCCTTCACCACTATGGCCACCACTCGCGAACTGAAGTCACCTCCACGACCACCACGCATTCCCATTCCACGACCCCTGAAATTTAGACAATGATTTTGTAATTTGAAAATTTATTAATTATGAAAAAGAAGTAAACAATTAACACTAAATGAATATATCAGAATATGCTGCAAAATTACAAATTATGGACAGCAACACATTTTGGAGTATGGGGGAAAAACAAACAAAAACACCACACTGCCTTCTGTCCATATTTGTTCCTGTTTAATGTCTCATATTGCAAACATCTGTGTTCTCTACAGGCTTTATATATTGTATAATACTCTGCATACAAGAATTTTGAAGAAATTGAGAGACAAACAACGAATGATATTTATTAGTTAAATTAAGTGGATACAGAAAGTAAAAATGAATGCAAGTGGAGGGAAATTTATGATACTTTAAGTGTTGGCAGTTTTTAAATGTGTGCCTGCAAAAATTCCACACGAAATAGTACTGGTGAATCGTTATTCAGATAATGAAATGATCAATTATAATATTCATTTCAACTATAGCAGGCAATTGCCGCAATTTTATTTTTATCTACATACAACATGTAAATAACATGCCTAATAATGAAATTAACTTTCGTACATGTTATTAATAACATCAAGCAAAAAAATTTAATATTGTGTTTTTTCACTTTCAAATGTTAGAGTTATTTTTGGGTGTATCATGATTCTTAGCAATTGAATTTTGCTTCTCTGTACATTCCTGAACTATCCAACAATCAGTTCATCTACATTTACACAATATAGACATTAAAATCTTCACAGACATGGTTGAATGAGGGATATATCCAGCACTGGTTAAAACTACAAACCATATTTTTCAACAAGACAGAACGACATTGACTAGGCATCCGGGTGAAAAGGAGGTTGTTGCAAAATAGCAACGCCATTGTAACTTTATTAGTAAGCAAAAATTGAAACACCAATTGTCAAGAACAAATCTTTATGTAAGTAATTTAAATCTGTAGGTATCGAAATTATTGTAGGATACTGTTTTGTTTTTCCTTCCAAGTTCATCATTGGAATGCATATTAAAATTCACTGAAAATCTTTAACAAATTTTTGAATGTCATCAACTCAAAGACTTTATCTCTGGTGATATCAATTTTTTGCAAAAACTCAAAATGGAACAATGATGAATTTTGAACATATTTTGGTTTTTGGATTTTTCTTATATCCATCATCAGAAGAGAAATTCTACTACAAACTTTAGCAACCATGATTACGTAAATTTATTTCAAAACCAACAACATTAATAAACTATCAGACGTTACAAAAATGACCTCACAAAGTGGTGAGATGTTTTGGAGTCGCTGGTTATTAACCTTTGAATTCCTGATAAATGCAATGTCCATTGCATTTAGGAAGTAATACCAAATATTGGATTATATTTGTTTGGAATATCACATCCTAAACTCTACGACAGAACAAAATGATCTTGGGCATTATCATCACTCAAAAATCTGAATGGGTACCAAGTGGTTTACCGTTTATTAAAAAGCCAATAAGCTACTACACCTGATTTGGTGAATCAATGGTGAAACTTGAATCTACACGGCAATAATATCAGACCTGTAACTAGAGTGTGCTAATGTGGTTTGGTCTTCTATTTATCAGAAGATAAAAACAATATTGAAAAAGTACAAAGGCAGATTAACAAAAGATCCCTGAGAACTACGTCAACTTGATTATGAAGGAAGATGCAGAGAAATGTCTCTGCTAAGCATTAGAAACAAGAGAAGAAGTAGAAATGAATATTGTACGAAACGTTAAGAATCCCGAAAGAATTTTAATAACGTCCTGAATTCACAACTTTTTCAATTAAGCCACGGAATCTAGACTTAGAGGACATGCGTTGAAAACTGGTGAAAGAGAGGACAAGGACAGAACGTTCCCAGATTATTGTGAACCGAGTGGTAAATACATGGAACACACTTCCCGCACTTTGTATACAAAAGGAAACTGAGCGGCCTTAAGGATTTGTCTGGACATAGTCCAATTTTTTGTTGATCAATTGAATGAATGATAAATTTTTATTATCTATATCTATATCTATATAGAGAGGGAGAGAGAGAAGAGAGAGAGAGGAGAGAGATGAGGAAGAGATGAGAGAGGGAGAGAGAGAGAGAGGAGAGATGACGAGAGAGGAAGAGAGAGAGAGAAGGAGAGAGAGAGAGGATAGAGAGAGAGAGGAGAGAGAGAGAGAGAGGAGAGAGAGAGAGAGCGAGAGAGAGAGAGAGAGAGAGAGAGAGGAGAGAGAGAGAGAGGAGAGAGAGAGAGAGGAAGAGAGAGAGAGCGGAGAGAGAGAGAGAGAGGAGAGAGAGAGAGAGAGGACAGCCGGGAAATGTCACGACATCGGAAGGCGATATGACGTGATGCGGCAGGAGGGGAGAGAGAGAGAGGAGAGAGAGAGAGGAAGAGAGAGGAGAGAGAGAGGAGAGAGGGAGAAGAGAGAGAGGAGAGAGTAGAGGATGAGAGAGGAGAGGAGAGAGGAGAGAGAGGAGGAGAGAGAGGAGAGGAGAGAGAGGAGAGGAGTAGAGAGGAGAGGAGAGAGAGGCAGAGAGAGAGAGGAGAGAGAGGAGAGGAGAGAGAGGGAGAGAGAGGAGTAGAGAAGGAGAGGTAGAAGCGAGGGGAAAAAAAAAAAAAAAAAAAAAAAGACAACACACACACACACACACGTATACAGGGGGCGGTCGCTTGTTAGGCGGGAAAATTTCCCTTAAATTTCAGCGACGTGGGTGGGGAGCTGATGATTTATGATAGGTCCGCCATTAATGCACCTCAATTGTAGAGCGCTCTATAAACTTTTGCAAACTAAGTAAAAGAAATAGATTTTGTCTGCGCTTCCCAAAATGCTGCCATCTGACGATAGGCTCTGAGCAAAATCCTGCGAATCTGACCCCCAACGGCTTCCGAAATTTTGAATTCGTTGTATGTATAACGTCATAACCGTCTCTCAGCTTCCATTTTGGCAGTCTGTTTGGTTTTGAGACAACTTCCAGAATTTTTGAAGGAAATGCCGCATTGTTTGTCGTTCTTCACTTCATAATTGCCATATTAATGGAATGGTAGACATGGACAAGCTTGCAAAGTAAGGTGATATTAATATTTTTGCAAGTTTGTTTAAGAATGGTTTCATATGATTACGTAAATTAATTTACAACATGGCATTAATTTTGTAACAATTGTTCACCTCAGTTTTTTGTTTAGTACTATTGTTTTTGTTTAGTCCTATTATTTTGTTCAAATACATTGAATTGGATATTTGTGATAACTTGGCAATTTATATCGTTACAAATTTTATTAATAGGTTTATGAAATGGTCTGATGGTAATTAGGACCTAATGACTGGCGTCTTGTCCCACGGAGAACATGAACAGGTGAAGGTACCTGTGATAGAGCACATCTTGCTAAGAATGTGACTGCAAAAAAACAGCTGTGTGGGAATGCAGTCTCAGTGAAAATTTCCTGACAATGCCCCTGAGGTGCCTAATGGAGAATCCAGAGCATTTAGAGAAGCTTGGCAGAAAGTGTAAAGCGACAGTGCATTGAGCATTCATGATATGTAATAATAAAGGAAGCTTTAAAATTTTGTTCAGCTCAATCATTTGTCTCTTATTTTGCAGCCTGCCTTAGCATGTTGTGAGCTACTATTCATTCCGGTTCCTTGCATGATCTGGTAGTACAGGAACCTTGTTTTATGAGGGTGAGACAGCACTATGCATCTTGAATTTCAATAATGCCTGCTATCTGTATTACATGGCAGCTCCCCTATCTGCTGGAAAAGAGTGCATGGACATCCTGGAGATGGGCATTTATTTTAAATATGTGATGCGAAGTATAATACTGTCAAATTTTGGTTGTCTTTTACTACTGTTTGTATGGTAATTTTGGATTTTTCAGTGATATGCAATAGTGTGTAGTGTTGTTCGTGGTCCAATTAAGACCCAATTATGTCTGTTCAAAAAGTTGATGATTTTTTTTGACAGGTTTAAAGTTACTTAATATTACTGTGAATGTAATTCTTTCACCCAAACAAACAGCGTATCAAACAGGGTGTCAAAGTGTAAGTTTAGTGCATATAGCTTGGAAGTTAGGGATGTTTTTTTAGAAGAGTGATTTACACTTGTTCCGTAGTCTACTTATTAAGCAAAGAAATGTTTATAAGAATTGATACATATCTTGTGTAAAAGTTTGGAATACATATGGCATCTTCTGTGTTGTTTTCTTTCAATATGTTTTCTTAATTAAACCTGCAACAGACTAAATTGGTCACAAAGTGATGCATATAAATAGTTTTGAAAAGGAAGTTATAGTGCAGCTTTTCTTGCATTTTTATCTATTTTAAAATACATTCCTATGTGAACATGCTCCAGTTGGCGGAATGACAATAATATTTGGAGTATCATGGCACAAACATTAGTTAGCCAGTGTTTGAGAAAGTGATAATTATTTGTATATGTTAATCACCATGATAATAATTATAAGTTGTCATTGCCACAATAGTATTTAATATAAAAAGAAGCTTTCGATGGCTTATGCCATCATCATCAGTTGTCTGCTGAACTGGATAAGCCACAAAATACTACGCTACGTGGCTATTAAATACTATTGTTGCAATGACGTTTATAATTATTTCATGAAAAAGGCCAACGATAACCACACAAAACACCTATATTTAATCACCATTAATGTCCTAAAATTTAATTTGGCATCAGTGTTAAAAAAATGTCATGACTGAACGGACATAATAAAATCATTTCTGTAAAATTAAATCAAATTGAATATCTAATAGAAATACTATGTAATTCTGAGTGTATGATGTGATAATTGTGTGTAATTGCGCAACTTACTTGTGGTTTTTGGGCAATTAAAATTTTGTCAGAAAGCAAAATTTAACAAGTCTAATAAGTAATTTTGGGATAAATCGATTGAAGTAGATTCTTGTAAATCTACTCGTATCTTTCCACATAGGGCATAAAAATCCTCTTCTAACACATAAGATGGCAATTTTTTCCTGAATATCCAAAGCCGCAGGACTCATAATATTTTTCTGATCAAAAGAATAGTAGAAATCTGCCCTTGGCCAATGTAAAATATAGTTCACAAGACAAACAGTTAGGAAGACTTTTTATACAAGACACAAACACTAGTTTAAAGTTTCACTTGTACACACATAAAATGTACCAAATTTAAAGGTGTTTGTTTCTCGTATAAAAGTCCTCCTAACTGTCCTGTGAACTATATACATAGCTCTTTGTACAAATATTTGGGATTGTTACTAGGAAATTTACTCTATTTTCTAAAACATAT